TAATATTAGGTCACATTTATACAGTATTAATTTGTGGAGAGAATTAAAGTCTCATATTAATGCATGGAGTTAAAAGGCACGTACTTTCCCGCCAAAATTGGGAGACTATTTTTCCCGCCAAAATTAAGGCATTTTATTTTTACCGCCCAAAATCAGGAAATATTTTTTTTAGGGGGGGGGGCAAAATTGGGAGGTAGGTATTTTTTAACAATTGCTGTTTTGTTTACGTTTTTCCCGCCCAAATTGAGATACCAATTGCTGTTTTTGTTATTGTTGTTATTGTTCTTACAAGTTCTCCCGGCAAAAAAAAAAAATTACTATTGTGTTTAAAGTCCTTCTCCTCCCCCTCCTCCTAGAACTGAGAAATGCGGTACGTATTGTTTTGTTTACATTATTTCCCGCCAAAATTGGGATCAAATATGTATGAAAACAAAAGACAGACACTAGACACACAACGCCATCTATAAACAATATCTCCAACTTGCGGCAGAAATACTTGTGATTCTTGTAGTGTTTATTGCCGTATCTTGAGTGAATTCTGTCTTACCATCTTATTTTCATGGAATGGAAATCAGTTTTATATTTTTTAATCAAAGTAATTTTCCATGATTAGATGTTTTTATTAAGGGATTTTTTTATGTTGGTAACGATACTTGATTTTTTATTGGGGGGGGGTTGTGTATGTATGTATGTATGTATGTATGTATGTATGTATACTGTCACCCTATAGTAAACAGGATAAGGCTTAAGAGATGTAAAAGCTAACACACAAAAAAAACCAGACACACTTGGAGGTAAATCACAAAATATCACACAACACTAAACACAGCCAGGCCGATATCGACAAAACTGTCACCCCTAAAACTGCGCGCCAAAATGAAAAACAAAAACATGAAAATATTACCCCAGAATTCCCACACAAAAAAAACAAAAAACAGAAGACATGTCAAAATCCTCTCAAAAAAAGTCAATACAAACGTCTAAAAGTCACAAAAAAAATACAAAAAGCAATTTCTATATATCGCCCCAAAAACCAACAACACGAAGATTCATTATCGATTATTTACGGTAGAGATAAAAAAAGTCAACAGGCACTAATGTTCGCGCTAAAAATATCACACATTTAAAGCGTAAGATGCGCGCCAAAATCAGAGGATGTAAACACTGGACCCGGTGGCTGTGTCATCAATAAGTTGCGGCCACAGTGTTACGTGGTGGTGGTGGTGACCTAAGCTGACTGACCCTTGACCTTTATTGGTAACACCCCCCCCCCTCTCTCTCTCTCTCTCTCTCTCTCTCTCTCTCACTCATTTTTCTATTCTTTCTCACATTTTTTCTCATTTTTTCTCTCACTTTCTCTCTCGTTCTTTCTCACACTCATGGCGTTTGTTGCTTTCATGGGAGGTCCATCACCATCTTCCTGGTGCTTGGGGGGAGGAAGAGGAGGAGGGGGAAGAGGAAAGGATGGATAGGGAGAGGAACAGGAGGAGAAAAGAGTTGGAGAAGGGGAGGAAGGAATGGAAAGATAGGGAAGGGAAGATGGGGGAGAGGAAGAGTGAGAGGGAGAATTGAGGAAAAGGAGAAAGGAAGGGGAAAAATTGGAGAAGAGTGGAAAGAATGGTTAAGAAGAGGAAGAAGAGGTGGAAAGAGTGAATGAATTGAAGAAGAATTTGGGAAGTGAGAGAAGGAAGGGAGGAAGAGGGGGTTTAAGGTAAAGAAGAAAGGAATGGTGAATAGAGAGAAGTGAGGAATAAGGAGGAGGGGAAGGGGAAGTGAAGAGAGAAAGAGAGAGAGAGAATGGGCCTGAGGAAGGGAGAAAGAAGAGGGAGGAAGAGGGGGATAGGGAAGATAGTAGGAAAGAAAGAGGAGTTGGGGTAAGGAAGAAGAAGAAGAAGGGAAGAGGTGAAAGAGGAGGTTTGAGTGAGTCAGTCAATTCGTTGGTGAGTCAGTTAATGAGTCTCAATTAAACTCAATGAAACTGTCTCTCAATGAGTCAGTCAGTCAGTAGGTCCTAAGTCAATTAGTCAGTCATTCAATCAAGTGCAGAGTCAATCGGTCAGTGAATCAGTCTATCAGTGAGTCAGTCGGTCAGCGAGTGAGTCACTTAGTGAGTCACTCGGCATGCCTGCACGACACAACTTCATAACGCTCATGGGGAATACCATACACACACACACACAGAGGCCATATCATAACCTTTGTCCAGTAGACGATGCTGCCCTCCTCTGCCTTGTGTGTGTGTGTGTGTGTGTGTGTGTGTGTCAGTAACCTTTCCTCCTCCTCATCTGCCAGAGATCCATCATCCACCACCGTGGGCCACCATATGAACAACAGCGTCAGGCATTCCCCCCCCCCCCTTCCACCATAGCAGTAACTAGCCCTTGGGGTTTACGCCAGACGGAACTTTCGCCAGCCTTCTGCCTGTGGTGGCGCTTATGTCGTGGGTACCAGGAACGTGAGAGGTGTGGTAATGATGTTCTCACCTGTATGTGGACACAACACTGTCAGGAAGTCACGTACCTCAAGGTCTCTCTCTCTCTCTCTCTCTCTCTCTCTCTCTCCGGTTGCCAGTTGTAATTTAGAGCTCAGTCCCTTGGGCACGGGGGGGACCCTCTCTGTAATGAATACAATCACTTGGTGTTAAACAAATAAATACTAATTGTGACAGCGTCGTAGGTCATAATAAATGTCAAAGGTCAAGGTCAAAGACAAAATTCAAAGGTCAAAGGTCAGATATTCGTAATTTAAGAGGGCCATGGTGAAGGTTTGACGCTATTTTCTCCAGTGTTTGTTTACATGAATCACTTAATTGTCTTTTTTATATTATCAGTTGGGTGTTGGTAGTGCTTATGTGTGTGTGTGTGTGTGTGTGTGTGTGTGTGTGTGTGAGAGAGGAATATTTCAGCCTAACTTAACCTAAACAAGTTGGTAGTGGGTGTAAGTGTAGAAGTTTATGGTTGCGAGTGAAGGTGTGTTAAGGGGGGGTGTTGATGCAGCAGGTGTGAGTTAATCAGTGGGTGTAGCTATAGGTGTGAGTATACAGGTAATGTAGGTGTGTGTACTAGGTTCTGTGTATCTGTGGGTGTTGCAGGGTGTAAGTGATGGCGGTAGTACTATCAAGTATTTGTAACGAGAGACAGCCAGTTAATGAATAGTTGTTACTTTAGCCGTGGGTGTAGGAGTTGTGTTGGTGGTGGGTGTAGCTATAGGTGTGGGGGTGGTGGGTGAGGTGTATGAATGAGTGAGGTGTGGTGAGTGTAGCTAGGTGTGGGGGTGGTGGGTAGAGGTGTATGAATGAATGTGAGGGTGTGGTGGGTGTAGCTAGGTGTGGGGGTGGTGGGTGATGAGATGAGTGGGGGTGTGTGGTGGGTGTAGCTAGGTGTGGGGGTGGTGGGTGGGGTAATGGATGGTGAGGTGTGGTGGGTGTAGCTAGGTGTGGGGGGTGGTGGGTGGTGTATGAATGGTGAGGTGTGGTGGGTGTAGCTAGGTGTGGGGGTGGTGGGTGTGGGGTGTATGAATGGTGAGGTGTGGTGGGTGTAGCTAGGTGTGGGGTGGTGGGTGGGGTGTATGAATGGTGAGGGTGTGTGGGTGTGTAGCTAGGTGTGGGGGGTGGTGGGTGAGGTGTATGAATGGGTGAGGTGTGGTGGGTGTGGCTGGTGTGGCTGGGTGTGGGGGTGGTGGGTGAGGTGTATGTGGTGGGGTGTGGTGGGTGTAGCTAGGTGTGGGGGTGGTGGGTGGGGTGTATGAATGGTGAGGTGTGGTGGGTGTGGCTAGGTGTGGGGTGGTGGGTGGGGTGTATGAATGGTGGGGTGTGGTGGGTGTGGCTGTGTGGGGGTGGTGGGTGAGGGGTGTGAATGAGTGTGGTGTGGTGGGTGTGGCTGTGATGGGTGTGGTGTGGTGGGTGTGGCTGGGTGTGGGGGTGGTGGGTGGGGTGTATGATAGGTGAGGGTATGGTGGGTGTAGCTAGGGTGTGGGGGTGGTGGGTGGGGTGTATGAATGGGTGAGGTGTGGTGGGTGTGGCTATAGGTGTGGGGGTGGTGGGTGAGGTGTATGAATGAGTGAGGTGTGGTGGGTGTAGCTAGGTGTGGGGGTGGTGGGTGAGGTGTATGAATGAGTGAGGTGTGGTGGGTTAGGTTGCCGGGCCACGATGTTGCCGTGTAAGCAGAGCGGTTGCCGGAACACAGTCGAGGGACCAACACCTCAATGCTCGGGACGGTGACCTCTGCCACACCTCCTGCAGACACAGTAACTCACCTAACTGGATCTTGAGCTACGGCACCTGGACGACGGTCAACATGGCGTCATAATAACACTGTGACCTTAAAGCGGTGTGTTGTCCCTCGGTGTAAAGGGAAATATTAGCGAACGAAGGTTTAAGAATGAGGGTGGCCGGGGTGTGGACAGTGGCGGGGGTAAGGAAGCTGTTGGTGAGGCAGGGAGGAAGGGCTGGATCACCACACTACTGAAGGCGACGCTGGCGGCACGAGGGAGTGGGGGGAGGAGGAGGAGCACCAGCAAGTTAACTGTTGTGAACGGTGAGTCGTCCAGGGCTCGTGCGGGTGCAAGGTCCTCGCTCGGTGCAAGTGCACTCACGGTGCGGAACCTGGGGTGTAGAGGGGCGTCCGGAACACCCCTCGTGTCAGGGCAACTCGCCCCTAACTTCACCCTGCCAGAGGAGTGGGAATGGCTTGAGTGGAGTGCACCAGCGCGCCAGTAGACCGCTCGTTATTGCCACGCATGCGTCATGCTGCTCGTGAGAGCTGTAAGGGCGGAAATACCCATGCAGGAGACGCACCTTGAGCTCTACGGAGATGGTGAGGAGCTTGCTAGGGCGTGTAAGGATAAGGTTGGCACACAAGAGACAGGGACGCATCGCCCTTACTGCGGTGTGGTGTCTTCAGGGCACCGTAAGGGCGAGCACTGTGAGCTTATCCGGGGGAAGAGTGAGCCTAACGGCCGCGGCAGCGCTGTGTGGTCGATCACAGCTGAGAGTGGCTGACGGTTCGGCAGTCGAGCTTGGAACAGTGTAGTGAGCGCATGTGATCCACGCCATCCTCGGTGAGTCCTCATGCTGCCTCTCTCACGCCCACAACAACCCTCAGGTAAAGCACCAGTGTCTTCCCTCGCCCATCACAACGACTAACGTTTGCCCCAACAAACGTTCCCTCGCGCGGAAGTTTTTGACAATCAGCTGATCGTGTGTGAGTGTGTGTGGAGGTGGAGCCAACACGACGCCAACCTAGCAGCAGCGTCCCAGCCACGGCCGCCACCCACTACCTACCAACAAAGAAACAAAGCCACTTCTCGAAATATCTGTTTACCATACATGTAGTGTTTGTGTGTGGGGTGTGTGTGTAGTGGTGGAGGTCCCCCAGACGTAACACAACCACTGTCATGCGTGTTGACCCACCCACCTAAACATGGACACCACCACCACTACCTCCCCCCTCAATTCCATTAATGATTTCCCCTTCGGCTTGTGTTTTTGTTCCTGTGAGACACTCGGACACGGGCTAAGGAGGGCCACGTACCAACCTCACACCATCTCGAGAATCTTGGCGTTTAGTGAAGAGATTCCAGGAAGAGGAGGTTAAAGTATGGAGGGGGCAGGAGTGCAGTATGGTGCGCATTGTCCCTCCTCAGTATTGCGTGATGAAGAGTGAGGACGGCCTGGGTTGTGTCCACCCCCGTAATACAGTGTGCCCAATAGTGAAGGTAACAAGAAATACATTAATAACGCGGGGGATGGGTTTATGCCACGGTGTATTATTGTATTAGAGGTAAATATACAACTCGATACAGTCATCAGTAAGTACGGATACAGGTTTGTTATTACAGATTATGTACTGTATTCGTAGTAATTAATACAGTACAGGGTTTATTATGCACGGGTACAGTACTGATTTCCTGTATATCATAATTGATTTAATACAGTAGCGATACAGTAAGCTCGGGTACAGTAGTTTGGGGGTGAGGAACTATTTTTGCTGGACGTCTGTTCCGTAAAACTCTCCAGGCATTGTTCCAGGTATAGTTCCAGGCAGCATTCCAGGTATTGTTCCAGGCAGTATTCCAGGTATTGTTACAGGCAGTATTCCAGGTATTGTTCCAGACAGATTCCAGGAATTTTCTTTACGATTTTGGAAAAAGAAAAGCTATGCTGGTGTTGGTCTCAGTGTGTAGGGGTGGCGGGTGAGGGGGTGATAGTGTTGGGGTGTTTAGTGGGGAGATAGTGGTGGGGAGATAGCGTGGGGTGTTGGTGAGTGGATGTTGGTGGGGAATGTTGGTGGGTGAATGGTGGTGAGGAGTGGTGGTGGATGGTTACTGGTGGGGAATGTTGGTGGGTGCGTGTTGAAGGAGAGATGATGGGGAGTGATGGTGGATGGATAGTGGTGGGGAATGTTGGTGAGTGGATAGTGGTGGATGGTGGTGAGTCAATATTGGTGGAGATGGTTGATAAAAAAAAATATTTATCCGAAGAACAAATTTGATTTCCTGTGATTTTTTTTTCTAGGGAGGAAAAAACTTATTTGAGGGAGAAAAAATTAACGATTTTTCTCTCTGTTTCCACGATTTTCTGCAATTTTATAATGGAAGATAAACAAATTCTTCCAGGTTTTTGTTTTGGGGAGATAAATATTTTTTTTCTAGGGAAGATAAGTTCAGCATTTTTTTTTATTTCCAGGGGAGATAAAATTCCATTGGTTTTATTTCTGGGGAGATAAATTACTTAGTATTTATTTTCTTTTTTAGAGGGAGATAAAATTTCCAGTTCGTCAGGTTTCTTATGGGGAGATTAAGAGATAATTTTAGCGATTATATTTCTGGGGGGAGACAAGAGATAACTCTACGGGGAGAATATGCTGAGGGACTTTTCTCTGGTTTCCCGTTATGATAATTTTTTTTCCTGTTCTTGATATTTCTGGAGATTGTGTGTATGTATGTATGTATGTATGTATGTATGTGTGTGTGAGTGAAACTGTGTGTATGTATGTATGTATGTACTGTATGTATGTATGTACAGTATGTGTGTTGTAATGAACCTGAATTTATTTGTTATTGTCACTGGTCAGTATTTATGGCGCAGTGACGTAATACAGAGAAAATGAAGTGAGTTAACGGCGCAGTGATGTAGTACACAGGGGGTGAAGAATGCTAATGGCGCAGAGATGTGATTTAGCATTTAAGTATGTTAATGGCGCAGTGATAATGTTAAAGGTGATGTAAAGATGTTATTGGTGTTGTGAACTATGTTGTTAGTGGCGCAGCGTAGTGTTTAATGGTGTAACGACATTATACTCTCTCTCTCTCTCTCTCTCTCTCTCTCTCTCTCTCTCTCTCTCTCTCGCTAATGCCTTCTAAATAATGGCACTGAGAGACATCAATTGTGGTGCTTCGCTGGAATGGCGCATTGTTGCCCTGACACCAGCCTCTGACACTGTGCTGACGCTGCATTGTGACTGTGCTGACACTACTGGTTGACTAACACTACACTGACATTTTCCTGACACTGTACTGACACTACACTGACGAACGATTATACGGTGGACCTTTCAGACATTTTACTGACATTTGCCTGACGCTGAGCTGACACTACACTGATGATTATGTCAATCTTTCAGGCAGACATTTCCTGGACGCAAACACAAAAAACTGACATTTTCCAGACACTGCTGACACTCCGTTATCATTGGCTGACGCTGTGTTGATATTACACTACAAATACACTGTAACAATACATCAAGGAGCTACAGTGTAACTTTAAGGTATAACACTGTAAATTCACTGTAACACTGTAAATATTATCGTACACTGTAACACTGTTAATATGTCATACGCTGTAACACTGTAACACTCGACCAAGGTAACACTGCAATGAATATTTCAAGATAATTATGAAAGAAGTTATTTACAGGAAAACGTTTTAAGTTAGGAAAAGTTACCTGAAAAACGTTTAATAGCGTTAATAGCAGGTTTATATTTATATAGAAAACTGTAAAACGTTAATAGCTAAAAAAAAATACGCTATTAGCTAGTCTACTTTATTTGGTTTTAAACATCTTTTCCCAGAATATTATCAGGTAGGGAACGGTCGAACTAGTGAACATTATTAGACTGGAAACGTTTTTAACTATAATAATTAAGCTAAAAAATATAATATTTCTTCCATTATTAACTGTTTCTAACGATTTATAACGAACTTTAACGGTTTCTAACGTCTTTAACGGTTTCTAACGGTTAATAAGTGACATCATTGGGGAAACGTTAAACCAATCAGATGATCCCCGTAGAGTTGTTGTGAGTGAGTCAGCTGAGCCAGGGATCAGCAGATTTTCTCTCCTGTTTCCTGATTGGTCATTACTCTCATGGGGGAAATCTGTATCCTTTGCTATGATTGGTGGATGGTTTAAGTCAGTTTTACACACCCAGGTATAAATAGAGCGATGTTGCTGTCTGATTGGTAAATTTTTTTAGCCTTTATTGTGATTGGTCAAATGTTATTGACGTAAAGTGATGTTGCCGTCCTATTGGTTATTTGTTTCATAGAATGATATGAATTCTTTACTGTGATTGGTCGAATGTTTTTGAAGGATGGCGATGCTGCTGTCCGATTGGTTATCTTTTTCTTAAGGTATGAATACTTTACTGTGATTGGTCGAATGTTACAGAAGTATAAAAGTTGCCGTCATCTGATTGGTCACATTTTCCTGGCATGATCGGACTCCTGCACGGTGATTGGTGTAACGAGAGACAGTTAAGCCAATAAAATCACAAGCTACAGCTGATATCGTACTCTTCTTTACGATTCTTTTTACGATAATATCTGATGGTTTTTTCCCCCCAGGAGGCTAGACGACCATAACCAGGGAGATTTTTACCTTACGATAATTTCCGGGACACTGGACTAGAATTCTCAAAAGGTCCTATGTTAATTTTTTCTCGTAAGTGATGAATAAAAACATAACATTAACTCACTTAAAACATAAACACGAGTACTCTAAAAATCGTAAGTTAAATTTCCCTCGTAATTCATGGTTCAAAAATATATCGGATCGAAAACGGGAAATAAAGTTCACAGGAAAAATAGTCACATGACTTGTACACATTGACAACACAATATATATATGATGGCATTACACGTAGGTTAGGTTAAGTTAAGTTAGGTTAGGTTAGGTTAGGTTAGACTGGGTTAGGTTAGGTTAGGTTAGGTTAGGTTTTCCGTGCCTTTTTATGTGACTTTTTTTCTTGACTTTTTTTCCTGGATTCCACAAAGTGTTAGGTTCATTTTTTCTCGTAAGTGATGAATAAAAACATAACATTAACTCACTTAAAACATAAACACGAGTACTCTAAAAATCGTAAGTTAAATTTCCCTCGTAATTAGAGCTGTAAGAACACGTCTAATTGGTTCATTTTAATACACAGAAGAAATAAAAATAACCTTTCAAAATGGCGTCTAAATTACACTGATACGCGATGTAAACATTAACTTAGGAACCTTTGAGGATATGGGTCCAGGTAACGATGCGATTAGACAGGCAATTAATTAATGAACTAAGTAATTAACTAACTTTAAATAATACGACATAGAATAAGACTCTACTGTATTCAATGTATTTTCTTATTATTATTTAAGGAGAAAAATGTAAACAATGAAGCTTTGAGACTCCAGTTTACCTGAGACGTGTTAAGTTGCCATCTCGTGCTATCTCCAATATTTCTACCACTTTTAACCATGAATATGTAAATTATATCTCTATTTATAATCTCAATTGTATTTTCTCATATTTTTAATCATTATATTCGAGGCTCTGGTTTATATTATATTTTTTGTAGTTTTAAGTTCGAGGAAATAAGAGAGTTGGATAGTTGTTATGGTGAGTGTATGTGGCGGTATGTGGCAACTCATGGTTCCACTCTTCCCACAATGCACCGGGATAAACAAGTGAGTAAAGACCGTGAAACATTGTCACCTTCACCTCACAACAACAGAGTCAAGGAGGAGGGGGAGAGAGAGAGAAGAGGGGGAGAAGAAGAGAAGAATGCGGGAGATAGAGGAAGAGGGAGGGGGGAAGAGGGGGAGAGGGGGAAGATGAGGGGT